TGGTGGTGGTGCTGCCACTGTTTACGCAGCCCCAGGGAAGTGTTAGGCTGTCCAGGGCTGGGGGGCTGTGCTGCAGCTCAGAAATGTGGAGCTCTATTGAAGTTGACAGGGCTGTGCTGATTTACATTACCTGAGGACCTGGTGCACGCTTTCTGTATGACTCTCTGCGTGTTTATGCTGTTTCCATCGCATGCCTCACAACTAGTGATTTTTATAAATATCCTTCTGCCTCTCTGCTATCTCCCTTCCTTCCCTCGGCCACGCAGGGACTGGAAGGTCAGCAGCGCTCTGGCGCTGGGGAAATCAGCACCGCAGACCCCAGCAAGGACACTTGGTCACTCCTGCGTTCAGTGAGGAGATTCACGGTTTCTTTTGCTGCTGAGGAAAGTGTTGCAGACCACGGCAGTCGAGCTGGGAAGCAGGCTCTCAAGGAGCCGAGGCCAGCTTGCCTCAGCGCTGCGAGTGACTGTACTAATGCCGTGAGTCCAAGGCAGGACACAGTGAGGGAGTCCCTGTCATGTAGCCGCAGGGAAGGCGTGATTTCAGAGGGGACTGAAACTTCCAGAGTGAACCATTCCTCCCATGATTTCTTCTTGGTGTAAGGAAAGAAAAAAGACAAGCTAAGCTGAGGTGCCCCGTGGTGTGTGGTGCCTGGGAGAGAGACCGGCAGGAGCACTGAAGCACCGCAACATCCTGTCACAGCCCTGGGCAGGGGATGCCTGGTGGTGTTTCTCTCACTGGGGCTCGCAGCCCTGATGCTGCTCTGGGGGATCTACATGTGTTTGTGTGATACTGCGTTATTCCCGTGCTTCAGGGCTTCCTGCTGGTTACCAGTCAGAGCCCCGAAACAGTGTTTTACTCCTTTCTGTAGTATTTGACTTCTGGATTTGTGTGAGGATATCGACTGTCCTTGGTGCGCTGGAGGCTGGGCACAAGCAGAGGGATGGGACGTGGGTGGAGAAAAGCACTGGTGCTTCACTGGCTTTAATCTCTCGAATTTCTGCTTCGGTTTTCCTGCTCGCATACTAGGGGTTAAACTGATCCCCAGGTCGTGGTAGGAGGGAATTTTCCTCCTCAGGCTGTTTGTCAGGGATTTCCTTTGCCCTCCTCCATGATCCATACCAGAGGTCATCTTGGAGACCCTTTTGCAGGCCCTCTGGCCCCAGCCTTTGCACTCTCTTGCCCTTTCCTAAGGCACAAGTTGTACCTTTCGATCAGTTGTGACAGGTCTCACATTTGCTCCAAAGCACTCCAGTGTTCAGTGGCCATGGTAGCATGTGGGGAAGACGTGCCAGGGACCTCTCTGAAGTGGGCAAAGGCTGTGTTTGCAGAGAATGGTGATGTGACCCTGGTGGTCCCCTCAGGCCACCAGCCCGAAATCTTGATGCTGCTCTGGGTACATGAAAAGATTAGTGGGGAGAAAAAACCTTGTGGGAAGGACTTTCCTGGAGGTTTTGAATCAGTGCCCTTGGGGTCAGGAAGGGTGAACTGTGCAGTGGGTGTGTCCACAGGTGCACAGCAGAAATCAGGATAATCATAGTACTCTAAAAACTCACTTTAAACTAGTATTATAGGCAGTCTAAAAGCAAACTAGAAATCATTTGCCTGAGAAGGTCCCAAACAGTTTGTGGTTTCACGTGTATTTTCGTGAGTTTCTTGAATGTTTTCAGTTTGTTGTCTGAAAGATACAAAGAGAGGAAACTGTCTGTGTGATTATAAAACTGGGGAAGCAGCAAAACTGATTAAACATGAGATGCTGTCAAATGTATCAAGTAAATACACTAGGGAAAAAATCTCCCTTCTTGCTTGGTAGTGTTAGTAAATTAGAATAAATATAAAGATAAACAAAGAAAAGCACAGTTTAAAAATTGGCCACATTTCTGCAAGACTGTGAACGCATCAGAGCAAACATTATTCTTAAATGTTGGAAAATAGATTTGTAAACTTCTTAGCATGAAAATGGGATATGAAAAAATCCCCGCAATTGTGTTGTACCTTCAGCTCTATGTATGATTTTGAAAAAACCTTCTAGTAAAGCTAATTCTGAGGCTCTTTCTCAACTATTCATTCTAGGATTTGACCCTGCTTCCCCTTTTCAGGTCACAAGAGATGCCTTCATTTGTTTCTCTGATCTCTCGTAGTGACAGCACCATGGGTTTCGTCTTGTGTTGTTTCTCAATTCTTTAAGGGTCACACAAAATGTGTTATTCCAAGCTGGGTCTTTGTGATACTTACTTTCCTGTATGTCAGATTGTGATTCCTTTGGGCAACTTTGTTATGACATAAATTGAAATATAAAATATGTAGGTAAAAATAGTTGGCTTGTAAAGAAGTTGTTATTGACAGTACTTCCCAGGATCAAGCTTAACAAGATTTGAAATTAATAAGAAAAATATATCCTAGTGCCATAAAATCTGCATTCCTGAGTGGTGGTTGGTTTTGCAGCTGTTGTTTAACTGCCTAGCCATTTTATAACCCGATTTTGTTTTGCTTTGTTTTCTAATAGCATATCAGCATTCATTCCATTGAACCTTTGTGGATTTCTACGTTAGGCAAAAGTGAAATAACAGTCAAAGGAGAAAACTTCACACGTGCATCAGGCATAAAACTGGTACTGACTGGAATCACTGGCTGTAAACCAGACATGTGAGTTAAGCTCTGAAAAATAATACTATTTACTTTGCATGGTGAAAATTACTCCCATTTTGCCCTAGCAATACAGTTGTGTGAACAGTTACCATGGACCTCTCCTCAGCAGGGCGGGGGATGCTCTGCGCTCCTTTAGTTATACTTCCACTTTCAATTCCTGAAGGATGGAAGTGAATTGGTGTTCGGGTAGAATACAAGGGATGGATGGGTAGGTGGGCAGTTCTCTCAGCAGTAGTAGGACAGTTCTGTACCTGTGGCCCTCTGTGCCTCGCAGCAGGCAACAAAAAAGGTCACAGGAAAGCCTCAGCTTTCGTTTGACTCTCCTCTGCTTCAAAATATTCCCCATATATTCTAGGATTCTGCTTGTGAAAGCGCAAACACCATGCCAGGGAAGGGAATTTCTCATGCACCAGCTTGTACTTTTCTCTGTTGACGATTGCACAGTGTAACCTCCTAGATAATTAAGGTATCTTATTCTGAATCAGTCATTTTCAGGTGCAGCTGCAATGGCTGCCTGTGATTACCGAGCCCATTTTATATAGCTAGAACTTGAAAAAGTATTCATACGATACTGTTCAGTTTTTCCTTCAATCATTAATTTCACTTGAAAAAGTATTCATATGGTACTGTTCAGTTTTTCCTTCAATCATTAATTTTCTGGGGACCACAAAAAAAACAAAAGAAGAGAAGGAGAGAGGGAAAGGAGGGACATAGAGGAAGTAGACCACAAAAAAAGCAAAAGAAGAGAAGGAGGGAGAGAGGGAAAGGAGGGACATAGAGGAAGTAGAGAGAAAGAGAAAGGAGTGAAAAGGAGGAAGGAGGGGGAAAAGAGAGAAAGACAAAAAAAGAAAGAAAATTAAGCTGAAGAGTCTCATTCTTGACTACCTCATGGACCGTGGTGGTAGCACATAGAAGACACAGTAAACAGCAAAATCACACATTGCATTACATAGCCTCATCCCAAGGCCGTAAGACCAATATCTGTACTGTCTTCTATGATTATTGTGACACATAGCAACTTAATTCAGAAGGTGCCCTACTTTGTCTTTTCAGCTCCCTGTTCTGTCTTTCCACCTCCATCTGGCGGCTCAGAGATTCATTTGTCTTTTCTCCTTATCCTTTGCTTTAGGTTATAGGCTTCATGTAGTAACACCCATGAGTGGCATACTGGCATCTGTGTTTCAGCATCTGACTGTTTTCTTTCTCCTTCAGCATTAAAGTTAGGAATGTGCTAAACGACACACAAATGACATTTACTCTCCCACCAACACGTAAAGAGGCCAAAAGTATATGTATACAGGCTAATGGGAAAAAATGTTCACCACCAATGACCCTGCATTATGTTTCACTACCATCATGTTTTGGAATCACACCAAATACTTCCTGGATCAGGTAAATTTGTCTTTCTATACTTTTTATGTATTTATTAAAATGTCATCCCATTGACCCAATATGAGCCTCCATGCTTGGCCAGACTGCAGCTGATGTAAACCTGGATGACTGCTGTAACCTGTTGTGGAGGATGAATATACATCAGTGAACTGATTTAACATTTAACATACAGATAGGATCATGATAACTGCAAGACAGATTCTGTGTTCTGCAGGATTCTGTAAGCTTCTTCCTGCCTGCCCCAGGTCTCCTTTGTAGAAGTCAAAAATACTCTCTTCATACTAAAGCTAAATCCAAAATAATGGTAGCACGCATAAATTCAAACTCCAGCTAGCTCCAATAAATAATTTGTTTCTTGATACTAATACACCCTTCACCTCTGAAGCAGCGTGAAGTATCAGTGAATTGGAAATGAAGTGAAAATAATCACCACTGCAGTGATACACTCAGACTTGCTTTAGGACTGGGTTCCCTAAAGCCAAAAGAGCCCTTTTCAAGCCTCTGCTCTGTTCTGTGGGAGACTCACTGCTCCAGTGAAAGACTTACAGGATGGTTTTAAGATATTCTCAGGCACAGCTTTCCACCTGTCCCTCTGCCTGCACAGTTTTAACCCACTTTCAGATTCTTAGTCTGATATCTTGGCATCAAGCACTGGCAAGTGTGGATTTGAAGTAATGAGTTGGGCTGGCAGCTGCAGCAGCTGAGCAGCTAGGATGTATACCCTCATCTCCAGGTGAGAGGCAGCTCAGGCAGCTGGAAATTAATAATACCTTAAACCACTCCAACTGCGTTCAGCAGAGATTGTGAGCCAGAGCCCTCAGACACAAGTACCATTGTGTGTGCTGAGACAGATGGTCTGAACACTGCCGAGAATGTTTCCTGTGAGGTGCCTAGCACCATCGGTTCATCTTGAAGAAGGCAAGAATTAAGCACAGGCAGGGCTGCTCCGGGGCAGTGAAATACCGTGATGCTCTTTCTTCAAGACAGAATATTAAATCATGATCTAGTTCTTTGGCTGCATGAATAGAAAATGAGGTGGAGAGTTCATGAAAAGGAGTATCCATGTGTATGCTTTCAAGTAATTTGGTTTTGCAGTAGCAAAAGTATTTACCATTACATTATGAGGAAAGAATGGAAGCACACTGTATAGCGCAAATTATCTTGTCCTGAAGTTTGACTTTATTATATTAGCTGCTACCAAAGCAAAATGCACATGTAGTTTATTCACGGCTGAAGATTTAATGCAGGACTTACCTGTGGAAAAACAGATAATATTAACCTCCCTTCCCCCTCCTTTTTTTTACAGTGGTGGTCGCAAAATTACTACAATTGGTAGAAATTTTAATGTGGTGGACAGTGTGATTATTTCAGATGACCAGAGATCAAACCTCACCGTAAGTCTTAATCCCTTTTGCAATACCAAATAGAGGTCTCTCAAGGGATTAGATTTTGCTCCTAAGGTTTCAGGAAAATCTCAGTATTTTTCAAACACTTGGAGGCACACATCAGTCACCCTGCTGAAATAAATATGACCACCTGTAGGATTACAGTTGCGCACATTCTCAGTACAAGATCACAGATACACATAAGCTACTCTCCTGCATAATTCCTTAAGCCTTTTTTCTATACTTTAGAGACTTGTTCCAAATCTTTCCTTTTTAAGTCTCCCCACTCTCAGTATAGGGGTCTGTTGGAGGAGGGGGTCATGTACTTCTCTTTGGCTTTGTGTTGAGAACCCAAATGGTGCCCCTGCCTCAGCAAAGGGCGGCAGACTGGAGCTGATGTTGGGACTAAACCCTTTGACGCTGTGAGGAGGTAGGCACCCTGTTGACTCCTGGGCTTGCTGCACAGAGACCAGAAAACAGCAGCATCACCCCATGGAGTAAACAATGGGGTGCTGCAACAGCCCCCCTCTCTCAGAAGTTAAGCTGGGGACAGCCAATGCCCAGAGGTGCTGGAGACCTCGTCCTGCTCTTCTCATGTCACCTGCATTGAGGGGAAGGAAGGAGAAATCACTGTCACTATTCCTGTCTCACCGCAGGAAATAGCTGCCTTAGCAGTGTGCAATCAGCCTTAAAGCAGCGTGCAGAGTGTGTGATAAATGTACTTAAAGGTAGACACAGGCTCAACACAGAAATTTTCGCAGGTGCTCTGCATGCAGCCTGATCATAGAGAAGAGGTTTAGCAGGTATCTGTGTGAAGTCAGGAAGACGTTAAAATTATTTTGAGTGCCTCTGTTCGTAATTGTACCCACTGTTGAGTACTTAATGACTGTTACAGCTTTGCTATTGCATTTCTAGGTCTCTAGGTGTCCTGGAAATGAATCTGAATATCATTACTTAACACCAAGCCTGAGCCATGCAACAGAGGGTAAAGTTGTTGATATGATGTTAAAAGTGGAAACTACCTTTATACCATGTGTCAAATTACACTATCACCCTGACCCAGTGTTCATTAACTACCAGCTGCACACTGAGCTGGATCCTGATCTGGAATTAAAAATATATGTAAGTTGGAAAGTAGTAAACTATAATTCCTTATTTGAAAGTGCTGTTGGGGATCATTTTATTTTTCAACGTGTTTAGTGACTTTATTATCTTCTCTTTTTTTCCCTCTAGAAAGAAAATGACAACTTGAATATTTCTAAAGCTGAGGTAGAAGTTTATCTGTCATATATGAATGGTGCACAGACCAAAAAGATATGGTTCAGTGTCCAAAATATTACCAAAAAGCCAGATCGCAGCACCATACTGTGCAAATTCAAAAGGGAAGGAACGGACAAGATTGACTTTTCCACAGTGAAAGTTTTTGTAAGTAGGATTCCCTTTTGTTGCAATTCAACAGTGTTTGGATGTTTATACAAATGTAGTAAAATGTAGCATTAATGCTCTCGTCATGAATGTTCTTTATAGAGGGAGGAACGGGATGCATTTTCTGCTCTCCTAGTACTCAGTAGTACTGTTTCCTTCCTCATATCTAAGCATGCCTGCCTAGCTTAGGTACCACAAACAGTACTGAGTTCATTTACTGTCTGGTTACTGCTGTAGAGTCAGAGGTAGGCTTTGCAGCCCAAGCTGAGCTCACTGCTGCTGAGCTCCAGGAGAGCAGTGTCTTGTCACACCTCTAGCTGCAGCAGAGACATCACCGATACAGCATTGCTGGTTCCAGGAGAGCCCCTCATCTTAGATCTGTAAGCAGTCTGCTGCTGGTGCAGTGTGGCCATGAGGAAAAGGACTGTGTCCTCCCATTCACTTTTTCCTATTGAAGTAGATAAGGGTCTTGAACAGTGCAGAGGGGTCACCGCTGAGAAAGAAGAGAACACATTTCTGGATGAAAAAAGGGGGTGAAATTCAATGTGCCCTGGGAAGGACAAAATGCTTTGAACATATGGCACAAAGCCAGGCCCAAACATAAGAACATTAGCATGGATGTCAAAGCTAAATGGCAGCTTAATATATTTGCGCCATGAGTAAGATGAAGATATGAATTTTTTAAAATGCAGTCATCACCGTTTATGATGGAGAAAAGTGATGCCAGACTTATTGCAGTGTATGGTGGTATAAAACTGAAATAACTCTATTGACTTCAAGGCATATGGCTCATAGTAAAGATTAACGAAGCTATTCTCAATTTCATATCACTCTTAACTGATCCCCCATCTGTGGATCCTGCCGTCTGAGCCAGTTATGGCATGGAAAAGCCTTTCTGAGATTGGTGTTGCATTTAAATATTAACATTGCCGTGCAATATCACATGCTCATCCTGCAAGCTTCATAGGATTGACTGTCATAGAAAGGTCACCGCTTTGCTAAGGCAAATCAAATGCAATAGTTATAATGTAACTTTTCACTTCTGGTACGTTAAAAATTATTTTTTCTGACATCAAGAAAAATGTAAAAGTAGGAAGTCATCACGTGGTTTTTCAGTCTCACAAATAAATCAGAAGTAGGACCACTATGAAAAGATAAGCTGGGTATAAGAGATAGGTATGGCCCAAGAATAAACCTATCTCTTGCCTTAGTATTCAGGAAGAAAGGATATTGAGTGTGTGGTCAAAGACAGGATGATCTGTCTGAATGGAGGCATCAAAGAAGAAAATGCCATTCCTGTGACAGAAGCAAGATTCAGATAGATCAAGGGGCTCAAGACAGCAGGAACAGGATCATTCCCATCACAGCTCTGAGAAAGAACCGACACATGATATTGTAGGCTTAGTAGGAAAGATTTTAAATAAAACTGCAGTCAGGAGATGTGTTGTGCGACTGGAGAGTAACAAATACAAACCCAGTATTTAAAAGAAAAAAACTTACCTAGGCAAATGGAGGCTTGCTGATTTAGTCCTAGCTCTATGTAAAGCTTTATAATGTATTTTGAATGAGGGACTCATGAAAGACCTGGAGGTAAATGGAAAATGGGGTAATTGTCAACTTATTTTTAATAATAAAAGCAGATTATGATAGATTCTTCATTTCGTAAGATGAGTGATTTCCTCAACAACAAAAAAACAGCTGATCACATGTACCTGGAAGTCATTCAGTAAACTACTCAACGTGGTGATTATGAACATGCTGGGGATTAGAAAAACTGGATGCTGTGTATGAGGAGCTGACTCTGGGCAGTGTTTATTTTCATATAGATATTATTTAATATCACTAGTGACCTGAGCACAAAAATAAGGCATGCGCTATAACATTTGCTGATGACATAAAGCTCAGAGGCATTACCACTCCAGAGGAGGTTTTCTAATGTCATGCATGAACAGTGAAATGAATTTAGGAATAGGAATTGGATTAATACAGGTGTACCTTATTTAGTCTATGATTCATAAGCAAGATAAATAAAAAATAAGAAAGAAATGGGGTCACTGAATAGGAAGGTTATGGTGAAGATTAATCCAAATATAAGCAGAAAATTAATGAATGCTTTGTCTCAGTTTTCAATAAGCAAGAATGAGTAACAGAATTTTCTGCTTTAGGAATGCTTTGGTTGCACAGGACAAGTGGAGAAAGGTGTACTAGTCGTGAGATGATTAATGTATTTAGCCACCAATGGTTTGCTTTGTCTTCTCTTCTTTGTAGCCCCAGAAATATGAAGGCTGTGTCCTTCCAGCTCTGTGAGGTTTCTTTACTTGCTCGTGTCCATGTAGCTGCAATGTCACTATCCAGTTGGCAATCTCCAGCTGCCCTGGCTGCTCACCTCCTGTGACAAGCCAGTGATTGAAATCACCAGATATCTGCCTTCCCTGCTGTAACCCAAAATGATTTCAACCCAAGTCTCCTTTTCAATTATCTCAGGCTCATTTCTATCCCTAGCTCTTGGTGGTATTCTTTTTCTGTGTCAAAGGGTATTTTTACTTCTAGTCTGTTTATAGACTTAGCTACCCTTTATTTATGTGTTTTCATAGCCCTTTTTGGGATCCGCCTGTGAAATTTCTTCTTCCATAATTATCAGTGGTGAATGCCTCAGTTTGGCCTCTGGCAGACTTCAGCATTTTCATGTATTCCTAAGAATTAATGCCTGTCCTGCCTTTGACTGGTCCAGTGGCTGTTGGGGGGTGTTGTACATGTATTGTATGTTGTATTTGTTCTTAAGCAAACCTTCAGGAATAACCCCGCCTCCTACATAAAGAGGTTGAAACTTGTGCAGAGAAACAGGGAAGAGGGCTGTGGGCCAGGCGTCTATCAAAAATGTTACTTACTTTGTTATCAGCTTGAGTCTTACCTTGCTTTTCTGCTCAGCGGAGTTAACACACTGAGTGCAAAAGAATGATTTTTACTATCAACATGTGCCTTCCTTGCTTCAAAATGCCAGGCCATTCAGCAACAATTCTGAAGTGCATGAGCCACTTGGCCAGCTGGAGGCCAGATCCTGCCCTTCATTCGAGGGCTCTTGTTTGCAATGAGAGCAATGGCAAAATTTGATGCTTCATGAGGGCCTCGAAAATATTCTCGTCACTGCTTTGTTATCCTGCTTAAACATCAAATACAGTAAAAGTTAAGTTTGTGTTGGTTCACGTTATGTTTTCCCAAATTGTTGCTGTCTTCCCAAAAATCTGGAGAACCAGGGTCCTTCATGTGCCTCAAATATGTTTGGGGTTTTTTATACATAAAATATCATTCCAAGCACTGATACAATACCTGTCCTCTATTAACACAAACATTATTTTTCTTCAGGTCAAATTAGGAAACTTTGAGCATGAAGTCAAACCGACATCATCACACATATATTTATATGTTCTTATTTTGCTGCCTATTGTAGTGGGTGTCATTATAGGTAAGTACAACAATGTGTTTTCAGTTTTTGATTTGCCAAAGGGTATAATCATGACACATAAAGACACATACACACACACATACATACCTGGGACTGTCACAAACAGCCTGGTGGTTTTTCCCTGTTCACAATGAGAGTGGACAAAGTTAACTCTGGTCTGGTGAAGTCCATCTTGTCAGACTACCGCACGTTACGAGACAGTAGTTTTGGCTATTCTGCTGGGATTACTCGCCATCATTTAGTGAGGCAAGCCAGAGGACTGACATCCTTGTGTTACAACTGGAGCCCTTCCAGCTGTCAGAGCTGGGCTCCCCTCCCATCCCTGGGGCAGATGTTCCCTAACAAATTGCTTATCCTCAGGCAGTGTTTGTGGTGTTTCTGCTCAGTCTCATTTGGATCATTCATGAATTTGTATGTCATTACTAAATTGAGGGGGGTAAATAGTTACCCCTCCTCTTTTGTCACTCCTTTTTTCTAAATGTTTTGCTCTGGTTACATATTTGATAAATTTCCATTTATTGTAATAAGTTTGTGGAGTTGTTCTTTTGGTTGTTTGGGTTTCTTTTTAAACAGTGCGTTAGCTTTACAGGAACTGTATCTCATGCCTTTACTGTCTCTAAATAAGCTTTAGAGAATTTCATAATTTGGAAATGGATTTCCTGTTCAAAAGAACTGTTTTTCTTGTTCAATCAGTGCTACTTTAAGTAGATTGCTAGTAGTTGAAGTGGTTGTTAGATTCTGTGTCTCACTGTGCAGGTTGTACATAGCAGGGTGTGCTGTACTTTCAAATAAAGTTGGATTGACAATTCCAAGACCTTGTTACAAGGAATGTTTTTTATTGAACATGTGGGTCTAGATCTAGATAGCTGGGGCTCATGGATACTAGCACACTGGCAGCAGCACAAACAGTAATCTGCCCAGAGAGTGCAAATGTATGTTAATCTTTCTGTTTCTTAAAATAATATTAAAATATGTCATGTATAGAGGCTGTCTGTTCTGCAATTTCTGTACTCAAGAATCTATTTTTCTTCCTTTTTAGCGGCATTCATAGTTACTAGATACAAATCCAAAGAGTTAACTCGTAAACAGAGTCAGCAACTTGAGCTGCTGGAATATGAGATTCGGAAAGAAATACGCGAGGGTAGGTCTAAAGAGCTTTATAGAGCTTAAGTACAGTGTAATGTCTGAACTGAAACTGTCAAGAAGCTCCCATTATATAAACGTTTTAATTTTATAGCTGTGAGAATAATTTTGTGTTGTATGAGAGTTCCCCTTTCATCTCCACGTGCACTGCAGTAGCAGATAGCACTGAGCTAATAGGATTGCATGGAATATTTTCTTCAACAAAAGTGGAAAAAAAAATGAACTGGTACTTTCCTGCTCATAAGAGTTTCAGCTAAAAAAAGAACCCCTCTAGAACCCCTCTTCCCTGAAAACGTTTTTTTAAGGAACACCTATTCGGGCCAAGTTATAACTGTGAAGATGATTTTGTGTCAACTAAAGTAACTCGGGGGGGGGCGTGTGATGTGCTTTTTTCAGGATTTGCTGAACTGCAGATGGATGAATTAGACGTGGTGGATAGTTTTGGAACCGTTCCGTTCCTTGACTACAAACACTTTGCTCTTAGAACTTTCTTTCCAGAGGTAAATATTTACAATTCTTTCAGTTGTCAGCCCTGCCTAATAATGAAAAAGCGAGGAAGGTCAGGATCAAATAACTAAAGTAAATCCTATACACAGTAATTGCACGTTGTTTTCACAAGAAACTTTTCTTAAATCAAGAATTACCAAAGAACACTTAAAGCTGTATATCTCTGTATTTAACCAAGCCTAAATGCTGTAGATAAAGCACCGTAGTTGAATTTTCAAGGGTTGTGTGTGCATCCATTTCTTTTTTGCCCAGCCTCACTAAGATGCTTGCCTTTCAATCCATCCTAACTAAGCTATAATTTTTTCATTGCTTTTTTTGTTCTCATGCTTTCACTTTCCATGCTATAGCTAATTAAAGTAACAGTCAGGCTAGCTAACATGCTACCTAAGATCATGACTTTTCCTAATTAGACTTGTGGGGTAGGGAAACGGCTCTAAGGTCATGCTGACTTTCTACTTCAAGCTGCTGACAGAAATGGGTAAGACCTTGCTTCAAAGGAGTGCAGGTCAAATGCTTAAAAATTACATAAGTACTTAAGTGCTGTCCAGTTCAGAGGTGGATATTTTCATTGTTCTTTGGAGCAGTTTATGCCTCTGCATCAGGGAACCGAAAAGGCCTTCTCTTTCTACTTCTCTTGCTACTTTTTTCCAGATGTGGCACATTGTGGTGCTGATAAGTGCATTTGCCACAGCTTTCAAAATTAGATCATTATATAATGATATATATGATGTGATTATCATTATATCAAAAGGACTGTCATCATTTAGCCCCAGCCAGCAAACAGGCACCACGCAGCTGCTCACTCACGGCCCTCCTGTCCCCAGTGGCATTGGAAGGAGAATCAGAAAACAAAGTAAAACTCATGGGTTGAAATAAGAATGGTTTAATAACTAAAATAAAATACATTATAATAATAGCAATAATAAAAAAAATCATCATCATAGTAATTGTGATTTAAAGGAATGTAACAAAAAGAGTTAAATAAAACCCAAGAAAGAAAAGTGATTTACAATGCAATGGCTCACCACCTGCTGACTGATGCCCAGTCAGTCCCTGAGCAGCGACTGGCCCCTCTCAGCCAACTCCCCCCAGTTTAGATACTGAGCATGATATCCTATGGTATACCCTTTGGCTGGTTTGGCTCAGCTGTCCTGGCCATGCTGCCTCGCAGCTTCTTGTGCACCTCCTCACTGGCAGAGCATGGGAACCTGAAAAGTCATTGACTTAGAATAAGCACTACTTAGCAACAACTGAAACATCACTGAGTGATCAACATTACTCTCATACTAAATCCAAAACACAGCACTGTACCAGCTACTAGGAAGAAAATCAGCTCTATCCCAGCCAAAACCAGGACATCATGTTAACCAGTGCTTACTGACATTGACTAATTTGCAGAAGCTCTGGTCTCAACTGGTGGTATTTTGCTGTGTAACTGACATCAATGAGTAGAAACCCTTGGTTAGTGATGTGGTATTTTAGGTTATAGCTGGTATGTATGCGAGTTACCTATTAGTCTTCATGTGTTACTCATCACTGCTGCAGCCCAGTCCTGCAGGCTTATCTGCACACTGCTTCACTTTATCGCCCTGCGTCATCCCACTGAACACTCATTGTGATAAAGTTAAATTCATGTGATATAGTGCAGAATCAGGGCCTTTTTTGGTACAACACCAAATACTAGCTACTCAGGCAGAATCATATTTAACAATTACGTATGCATAATCTTTGTACACTTTGAGTCCAGTTCTCTACACCAAAGGAAACTGGAAATGTCTCTTCTAGTACTGCTGTTATGCCCCCAGTATAATTTGTATGGGGTCACTAGGAGCTTTGAAGAAAATGGACCAAGAAAATCTTACTTTCTGCATCTCTTTCCTTTCAGTTTCTTTTGTTGCCAGGCATATTAGCATTAAAGTCGCGTTTTTATTTTTAGGACTGTATCTTTTCCTAGTGATAGTCCCCTGTCAAAACAGTAACAATCTGTAGAAGCTGTCTGGGTAGAAATGCTTTGCTTTATGCAAATAAGAAGGAAAGAAAAAAAAGGCACGGTCTGCCACTGTGTTGCATTATGTGAGGTCAGAAAGGGAAGGGCTCCTGGTTTGCCTTGACAAGTCTCGTGCCACTGTGCATCCTGGAAATTGTTCCCATTAGATATTGTCTCAGACTGAAATACTGATACCACGAAGGTAAACTTGCCACTATTAGCTCTCTACAGACGTGCAGTGTCAGGCAAGTTGTTTAACGTATTGTGTACCAATTTTTCCTGCTAAGTACTTACTGTTTACATTGCAGGAGTGTCCAAACATGCCTTGTGCTGTATGAAGTTGGTAGGAGAGCAGTGCTCTACTAAACAAATATTACAGATGAACAGAAAAGCCAATGGGGTAATAGATTGTAACCAAGTGTCAGAAGGATTGTCAGAAGGGTCAAAGTGGCAAACCACCACTTCCCTCACTAACCTCATCTGTTTGAATGATGTCTGTATTCTACTTTTTCTGCCTTCCAGTGTGTTCGATGAGCTTTGTCTCATCTAATCTAAGCTGTTTAAACATGGTCATTCAAGCTGTTCACTGAGCATCTTCTGTAGTCAGTGCAGAGACAGGCAGCTCAAGAAAGTGATTCATCCCACTTGCCTGAGACATCTGTCTCAGGATGGGATGAGTTGCTTACAGAGGGAGTCAGGTACCTAAAATTAAGAGTGATGGACCCCATCTTCATTTTGAGCTTCTCGCTTCCTGCTGCTTCGATTTTCTATATTTAATTTGGCTTGGTAGCTTTTGTTTTGTGCTTAATGCTTGTAGGTGTTAAATGGATATTACATCTGTTCTTAAAATATTCCTTATGTTCAGCCTGATTTTTGCTTTACTTGTTAAATTTGGATTATTATTTCCGTTTTCCTTTGATTTCCCACATTGTTTGGTTTAATGCTACCATGCTTGTTCCCTGTCCACAAGCATTTTTGACCTTTAATGTGGTTCTGGTTGTTTCACTCTGTGTATGTGTGTTTTATTGGTAGGTGGTGTTAGGTGTGCTGAAGAAGTTCTGGAAAAATGGGAATAGCTAATGGAGGAAGAAGGGTATGTAAGGGAGAAGAGAACAGGAGGCATGAGGAAAGGAAGGGATGGAAAAATCAGATATGTAGATGAAAAACTAGATGTGAGCCGGCAATGTGCACTCGCAGCCCAGAAAGCCAATCACACCCTGGGCTGCATCCAAACGAGCGTGGCCAGCAGGTCGAGGGAGGTGATTCTCCCCCTCTGTTCCGCTCTGGTGAGTCCCCACCCAGAGTGCTGCATTCAGCTCTGGAGTCCTCAGCACAAGAAAGACGTGGACCTGTTAGGGCAGGACCAGAGGAGGGCCACGAAAATGGTCAGAGGGATGGAACACCTCTTTTATGAAGAAAGGCTGAGAGAGTTGGGGTTGTTCAGCCTGGAGAAGAGAAGGCTTCCGGGAGACCTTAACTGAAGCCTTTCAGTATAAAGGAGGTTTATAAGAAAGACAGAGAGAGACTTTTTACCAGGGCCTGTAGTGATGAGACATGGGGCAATGGTTTTAAACTGAAAGAGGGTAGATTTAGATTAGACATAAGGAAGAAGTTCTTTACCCTGAGGGTGCTGAGGCACAGGAACAGGTTGCCGAGAAGCTGTGGCTGCCCCCTCCCTGGCAGTGTTCAAGGCCAGGCTGGATGGGGCTTTGAGCAACCTGGTCTAGTGAGAGGTGTCCCTGCCCATGGCAGGGGGGGCTGGACTTGATGATCTTTGAAAGTCCCTTCCAACCCAAACCATTCTGTGATTCTATGATTTTGTAAGGAAACTAGGGGCTGCCAGCATCACAGATAAAGCAGATGTAAATGTTGCTGGTGTGAATTTGTTGCTCAAGGGTGCTGCTTTGGGAACATGCAGCTGTGTTGGGACCTTATAGGCTGTAAGAGTCAGACAAGAGGCATTGACAAGGTGTTTGAGAACTGGGGGCTTGCCTTTGTTGTGAGAGCTTTTCTCTAGGACTGGATGTGTGGTGGCACCTGTGCCTCTCTGGAGACCGACAGCGTGGACCTCCTGGAGAGTTCATTAGTGAACATTCATAAAGTGCTGTGAAATGAAAGGAGGCAGATGAACTCAAGTGTCACTCTGTTACAGAAACCCCATATACCAAAGGCTGTCGTTGCTATCCAAGAAGGATGCAGCCTGCAGCACCCCTTGCACACCAGCACGTTTGCAGATGAGGGTAATAAACAGCTTTTCTTGTGGAGTGTTAGTTGACTGCTGTGTTAGTGCAGGTCAGCAGCACAGAGTAACACACACAGTAACACTGAAGTCAATACCAGGTCATCTTCGAGAGTTCACTTTTCAGTGAACCTTGGCAGCACCTTTGCAGAAGCTACCGTGTAGAGTTTTTGTATTGTAGCCTTATTAGAAGCCAGCATTTCCATTGTTTTATTTCAAGTCATACGCTAACAGGACATGCTTGGCATGTTTAACATACATGTGTTAGAAACTTGTGGTATACATAAGAATGATAAATATCGCCTGTCTTATATTTTAGTCAGGAGGCTTTGCATCCATCTTCAGTGAAGACATGCCACAGGTAAGTTGATGTAGTGTGATAAGCCTTAATTAGCAAATATTGTTTCAAGAGTGATTGTATCCCTTATCTCAGTGTTGTCCTAGAACACATCAGATTGCATTTTCAATAGGTTCCCTTTCCCTCATGAGGATTGTACGGGTTTATATATAAAATGAATTTGTAAGATGCTGTTACCTAATGTATGTTATGACTTATTTAAAAAAACAGAATCTAATCATGAGAAATGACAGGCAAACTTAACTATTGGCATTACTATGTGCCAGTATGACAGAAAATGTATGTTCTGCACTGGCGTGTTCTGTATTGTACACAAAGGCAAATGCATCTTCGGTAAAATCCTGAGACTCGTGAAGTAAGTGCAAAGTTCCCACTGATTTGAACAAGGCCAGGATCTTATCCCATATGTTGCTTACCATTTTTCTGAGCATTAAGAATCCATCATAGCCAAACTACAGTTTGCTTATTTTTGTTTAACTATTCCAGAGCAGAGACCAAACGAGCAAGGATGAAAGCTTCAACATGTTGCATGCTTTAATTTGTAACAAGAACTTTCTTGTTACTCTCATTCACACCCTTGAAAAGCAGAAAAATTTCTCTGTGAAAGACAGGTATAGTATGATTATGCTTATCATCTTCAAGACAAAGAATTAGCAGGAAAAAACAACATGGATTGTTACACAAATGTAATTTCTACTTCTTGCAAAACAAGGTTGCGTTACTCCAGAGCATTTTTCCATCTTCTCCATCTGTACACACTGAGGAGAAAAAACATTGCCATTAAAACAAGCCATTAAAGAGAAATCAGAGTGTTTGCACATGTAAACAAAGAGGCAAAGGAGCAGGAAAACTCACTTCAAAACTGTAAACACTTCCTGCAGTTAGATCAACAGTTCTACAGTTTAGAAATGTTCTGTCACTGAAGCAGGTGTTGTTCTGCAGAATTAAATTTAGAGACACAAATTCTGTGTTTAAAAAATAATCACAAGAGCAGATGGACTTGCATTTTTTTATATTTTTGTAGAGATCAGTGGACAGTTTCTGTAACTAAGGCAGGAAAACTTAGGATGTGAACTGCACTAAAGTGTGTTTCATGTATTAAAGATGACAGGGAAGAGAAATTCCAAATATGATAGCATTCTTTTTTTTTTTTTTTTCTTTTTTTTTTAACAGATGCTTGTTTGCGTCCTTCTTGACTATTGCACTACAAACTAAGCTGGTTTATCTAACCCATATTTTGGAAGTTTTGACAAAGGACTTGATGGAGCAATCAAGCAATGTACAGCCTAAGCTCCTGCTCAGACGAACTGAATCTGTGGTAGAAAAATTGCTGACAAACTGGATGTCTGTCTGCCTTTCTGGATTTCTGCGGGTATGTGTACCTCTTTTCACTGTCAGATACGCAAAGAATTTTTTTAACTGATTTCTTCCATAGGAATTGTTAGAGGTTCCTGTTTGAGGCGTTCATTCTAACATTTAACGTTATTAGTGTGTGCTCTTCTAGTTTAGGTGACTTAGCTAGCTATTGTCAATGGAATGTAGGAAAAGAGTGCATCTGTAGGCGAGGATCATGTCATTTATTTGGCTGAGGTTTGGGTAGTTTTGCAACACTAGCATACCCTTTTCTCATGTCAGACATTATTTCATCTCCATGAGATGTATTGTGATCATACTAAAAGACTGACACACTTGTTAAAATGCAGCTGTACCTTTCTACGCAAGCTGTTGGAAAGCTACCACGTAATGGAGTTTTGAGTAATACTGTCTTTTGGAAAACTAAACTTCTTTCCAAACTTTTTAACTCCAAACAGCATTGCAGATTTCAAGAACTAAATGACTTCAAGTGGAAACAAAATAAGCATTTTCTTTCATTTTACTGTTTTTTTTTTTTTTATTTTAGCCCACTTGGTAGCACTTAGTTCTTGATTTCAGTGTTTGGTTATGCTTCCTGTCTCTCTGCGGGATGGTGTTGTGCTGTTGGTATCACTCATATCAGCCCTTGCATTAATACAGCAGCAGAATTGTTTGAGGCTCAGCAGCTCGCACTGGTTTCCTGAAACTCCAGGAGAGAGCCAAGGAACTGTCAGAGATCTGTTCTCGATACACCAGTCATCTTTACAGAGCTGTGCTAGTGAGATACCTTAGCCAGGCTGCAGGAATGGTGTCATGTGGAAACAAAGATCCATCCTTACTTTCTCAGGTGCTTTCCTGAAGCCTGGGGTCCAGGCAGGAGAGGGAGACCCCAGTTTCATCCCTCTTTTGCTGTTACACCAATGTATGTCCTGCCACCTTGCTCCCAAGGCTTTTTTTCAGAGACAACAAGGGGAGATGCCAATTCAAAAGGAAACTAGTTAGCTTGTTTTCTCACAGGACTGAAAAAGGAAGAAATAGCTGAAGTATGCATGTGAACACATGCACATCTCACCCCCCACCCGCTCTTTGGTGGAACTAGGAAGCGTCTGCCAGGTGGAGTAGGAGCAGCTTGTCTGTAGCGTGCTTGTGCACAGCAAGGGGCTGTGAGCTATCTTGCCACACACTCCAGCTGTCCCTTGCTATTTGCATGAGGCTTTCACACCGAAAAGCAAAGCGTGGAGGTTAAACAAATAACTAGATAAATCTGCTCACAGGGATTTTATTTTCTAATTGCAAGATGACAAGCTAGTTAAAAGGAAACAATTTATTACACTTGGTTTTTTTCTAGTTATTCGTGCCCATTTAATGATTACAAAAATAAACATGTTCCCTGTGTTTGTTTCATGCCCTAGGAGACAATTGGTGAACCTTTCTATTTGCTAGTGACAACCCTCAATCAGAGGATAAACAAAGGACCTGTTGACGCGATAACTTGCAAAGCGCTGTACACGCTTAACGAAGACTGGCTGCTGTGGCAAGTGTCTGAATTCAAAACAGTGGTATGTTTGCCAGTGTGTGTTCCCTCCAAACCCGGACAACTACAATGTTTGCTCTTTTTCTAGGAAGCTAAATTAAGGCTCTTAGACACTAAGGTGATGGTTAAGTACCCAGATAATAAAATCGATGTTGCTGACAAAGTTTCAAAACACAATAGGGTTTAACTAGCTGGTATTTCACCAATATACATTTCACAAATAGCACTCACTCCTCACTTCACAGCATGCCTTAATAGCCAAAGGTTAGGTTTAATGAAGTCTCAGGGTATTAAAATTCCTTCTTATTTTGAAGTGTACTACAGAAGTATAAACATATGCTTAGAATTTAAACTAAATTACGCTTTTCCAATGAATGAAAGAATGGAATGCAGAGGTTTTATTTTTCTATTGTGTTTACTAATCTTCAGGCTAACCTTCAGGCAGCAGTAATTTGCTGTGGGTTTCCATGTTATTAACTCCAAATTAGCTCCAAATTAGCAGTGTTACAGTGTGGTGGATTTTAATTAGTTGCTTGGTCAAAAACAAGGTATCTGGGAAGCCCAGCTAAGTTTCTGAACTTTACCACAGATTTCTTGCCTTTCTTAAAGCAACTGCAAAGTGCTCCTATTTTACAGTTTTACCCACAATTCTTTGAAATCTGGAATTGCCTTACCAATTGTCATTCTGACACTAAGGGGAGAAGCGACAGCAAGGATTATTGCACTTTGGAGCATGTAAAAATTGTGACTTTTTGGTTTTTAGAATAACCAGAGCACTTTTTTACCCAGAATTCCCAAGTGCTTTTGAGTCTGAGAACTTAAAAATCTGCATTTCCAGTCATTTCCGTGGCTTCCTTAACTCCTGGCTTCCTGTCGGAGTTACCAGACATACTTTGAGTATGAGAAGTGCAACTGAGTAGTGGGCTTCAGAGCTTGGGAGCAGAAACTGCCAGGGCAGCAGCTACTGTAGCAGAGACCCTGCAAGTGCTGGTGGCTTTGGAGGAGAATTCAGTCCTTTTCAGAGCCCATGGGTCTGGAGTAGGCATGGAGCTTCCCAGTCTGCCCATCTTCTGGTTTTGCAGCAAGAACCTGGAGGTCCTAAGATGCCACATACTGGAGTAGACTACATGACCCTGGAAATTTTCGCTGGTCAGCGATCCATTTGACTTAGCTCACTGGGTCATGTAGGAAGCTCACTGAAATGACAACCTTTCTGTGAAACATTTCTGAATGGTCATTTTCTGCTGAAAGCTCTTGGACTGACAAATTTATAGTCAAATCTTCTTATAGCAATTTACAAAGCTGATGTTGGAAGCTTTATTTGAAGGTCCTTCGAGCTCAGTTACCACAGTGTGCATTTGGGAAGAAAGTTTGTGACTAAAAATTAAACGCATAATACGATATCTTTGGTTTCCTTGTTTGTGCATGCATTTGGGATCCAGGGTAAGTTTAAATATATTGCTAAATATAGCCACAGGATACAAAAGCCAGTAGTTTCACAGAGCAACAATTTTCAAGGAAGCTCAATATGCCTGTTACTAGTAGACTGTGCAGGAACATCTGGTCGTGTGGAATTGATTGACTTTTCTTATTTATAGCACAAATTCAAATTCAGAGCACCTTCGGAGGGGGATAGCAGACTGAAACTGCTGAACACTGCCTTAAATACTTCTCCTAGTGCTACTTCTATGTATGCAGTTGCTGATAGGGTCTTGTGGGCAGTCTGCAGTCAAGAGGAGAGGGGAAGTGGTCTGAAGGACTCGGTATCAGTGGGGAAGGCTGTCTGCGGGTGGATGAGGAAGTGAGGGAGCAGATAGGCTTTCTTGAACGTTGTTTGCTGCCTTTGTGTTTTGAATAGCAGATAATGATACAGGCTGGAGAGTTGGGTGGGGAGAAATTTCATGAAATACAACAAGGGCAAGTGTAGAGTCTTGCATCTGGGAAAGAACAACCTCATGTACCAGTATAGGCTGGGGACTGAGCTGTTAGAGAGTAGCATAGGGGAAAGCAACCTGGGAGTCCTGGTGGGCAGCAGGATGACCATGAGCCGGCAATGTGCCCTCGTGGCCAAGAAGGCCAATGGCATCCTGGGGTGTACTAGAAGGCATATCGTCAGTAGGTCAAGAGAGGTTCTCCTCCCCCTCTACTCTGCCCTGGTGAGACCGCATCTGGAGTATTGTGTCCAGCTCTGGGCCCCTCAGTTCAAGAAGGACAGGGAACTGCTTGAAAGAGTCCAGCGCAGAGCCACAAAGGTGATTAAGGGAGTGGAGCATCTCCCTTACGATGAAAGGCTGAGGGAGCTGGGTCTCTTTAGCTTGGAGAACAGGAGGCTGAGGGGTGACCTCATCAAGGTTTATAATTATGTAAAGGGCAAGTGTCAGGAGGATGGAGCTGGGCTCTTCTTGGTGATGTCCAGTGACAGGACAAGGGGCAACGGGTGCAAGCTGGAGCACAGGAGGTTCCACATTAACATAAGGAAAAACTTTCTCACCGTGAGGGTGACAGAACACTGGAACAGGCTGCCCAGAGAGGTTGTGGAGTCTCCTTCTCTGGAGACATTCAAAACCCACCTGGATGTGTTCCTGTGTGACCTACTCTAGGTGGTCCTGCTCTGGCAGGGGGGTTGGACTAGGTGATCTTTCGAGCTCCCTTCCAACCCCTAACATTCTGTGATTCTGTGATACTGTAACAGGGTTAATAAATCAGCTTTTCCCACCAAGGTCCAGCAGTTTATTAGACTTAGTTGAGAAGTGGCTGAATGTTCCCTTTAAAACCATCAGAAAAGGAGAGAGGATCGTGCAGTAAAATTACAGAGATGGACTAGCCCTGGCTGGACAGGGAAACAGTTTTGTTTGGAATTTTGTCTAAGATTATGCTGGCAACAAAAACTGTGCCGGGAAAGAGATTTAGGTAGAACACGGAGGCTTTCTGGGCTGGGGAAGCAGGCCAGCTGTGCACGTTTTCTCTTCAAGAATAGCGTTTAACAGGATGCTGAAGTGGAAAGAGTCCACTTTTCTTCTCTCAGTAACACCACTTCACATGCACTGCAATGACGTGCAGAACCTGTGAGCATACAGACAGAGAACCAAATATTTTCTCCTTTCTTTGGAAGAAAATTTCTGCCTGAAGGATTGCAGGTTTTGTTTTCTAAATGGAATAAATTCTGAGCTGAGTTTTCAAATGCATTTGCACATTTGCTCACTGCAGATATACTTCGAGTCTTGCAGTATTTTGTTGGTATTTTATTTTGCCCCTTTCCACAGCCCCACAATAACAGCACATTAAAACGTACCTGTCCAGAGCAAAGCATAAAAACACAGCCAAAAAGCAGGTGATAGAAAGATACTGAAGCACATCTGCAGACACTCAGTGTCCAGACTTTAAGCTATGTAGGCACTTGAAGACATGGGAATGCACCTGATACAGAGTTCAACTCTCAAATCAGTGGCAGGGCAAAAACAGGGTGTAGGCACACTGCATGCGAATCTCTCCTTTTAGGACTGGGACTTCAGTTCCAAACCAGTAAAAGCACGATACAGACAGGCTCCTGAAAATCAGGGTGAGCTCCACAGGTCTTCTCTTAAACATACCACTATGCAGATAAACTCTCGGGGCAGGAGAAGGAAGAAGCACTGCGCATAGAGAAAGAAGGACAAGAGAGATTTTCTAAAATTCAGTCCATTTGTAACAGGAAAAAAAGAGAACTAAGAAACATGTTGGTTTTGAATTGTATTAGAGCTGTCCCTTGGCTGGGCCCCATGCTTTTTTTAAAAAGGCCACGAACCTTGGGATCAGCCAACCCCCCTACTGTTACCCCTCTCTGCTGGAAAGGGTCAGATACTGAACGGAGTTGGGCTGCTGAAGTAAATACTCAGGCAGAGGAATTGAAGGAAAGATGCTTCTGAAAGCACTGGTCCAGTATGAGCTGAAGAGCTGTGTGGTTTCATGCTGTGCTTATATTTGAGTATTGAGAAATAAAACTGCCTTGAAAGAGTCTTGAATGTGTCATGGAGCCTTCTCGCAGGCCGAGGAAGCAAGCCTGCTTTCTCACAGCCAGACAAGCAGCTGCACCCGGCGGTGGATAATTTGCTCAATGACTGATGAAGAAGCGCGGTGCACAGCTGAGTGTTAGCATTTCACTGAAGTGTTCCATTTTAAATAGAAAAGCTACACGATGCCAGCCTGGCATGGGGGAAGTTCTCGGTGGCATCTCTCCTGTGGAAAACCAGGGGAGGCTTCTTCATGTGGTAGACTGTGTGCTCCAGCATTCTTTTGAATAGTCACTGCTTTTTTTAAAAAAAAGGGATGTGGGCTGTTGAATTCTTTGCTGAAACGAGTTGCATTTTCAGATAGGAAGAAATTATCTGACTCACCTGTTCAGCCTTTTATTGAAAGTGAAGCAAAGCCACATGGTGGAAGGTTGTTTAAGGTGTTCAACTGCTTTATGAGTTAAAAGAAGGGTGTTAAAAGAAGTGGGAGGGCTGTAAGGGAGTAAAGCAGAGACAGGGAACCCAATAAGACGCCATGGTTGTGGTATTATTAGGCACACTTTGTGAGAGATAAGGAAGCTATTAAAAGCATGTGACATATGGGGATTTTCGTCAGCAGAAAAGGACACAACAGCCCTCGCTAGGAAGCGAGCAGTGCAGATGTTGGCTGCAGGAGAGTCTTCTGAATTGGATACAGATTGAGTACCATACTGTAGCAGCAAGAGTACAACGCTTGCTTTGCATAGCGCCCATCTAGCCTATATTTAACTCCTGTCACATTTTCCATGCCAATTTGTTAGCTGTTCTATAACCTCTTCGTGGGTGACTGTTCTGGCAGCTACAGAAGGATCATACAATCAATCTGATTTTTCCTGTTTATTGTATTTCATAGTCTGGGAGACAGGGGAGTAGTTTTCAAGCAATTGGCAATTTCATTGTGCTGTACATCATGGTGCTGTCTCCTTTACATGAATTCTCTAACTTTTACCAATCAAAAGTTTTTCTTGTTTTTTTCAGTCTGTCTGATAAACGGAAATATGCTTTGTTCAGATGCATAGCTGAATAGAGAACAGGGCAATGAATAAGAGCCCTTGAATATCCCAGGTTATTTTTCTTTAATTCTAAGAAAATACAGTATTATCACATTTCTTTATTAAACCACGTCTCGTTTATTGTCTGCTATTGTTATTAATAACTTTACTAAATAACTCATTGTTTGAAATTCATTTTCAAGAAAACTACAAATCTGAAAAAAATCTGTAAATGTTGTCTTCAAATGCTTTTATTTCTGTCACTGCATGAGTGAAAAAATCTTTTTAAAATCTGTTCCTGTCTTTTAGCTAGGTTCCAAACTGGTTCCTAAACAAGTAGTATAGGAACAGATGCTTGTCTTGTTCTCCTTAAGTAGCCTTTAACAATTCTTGCAACCTGTGTTAAGCCTTTGCTGAAGAGCACTGTGACTTTGTGTTGCTAATCACTAATTTCTAGTGCACAAAGTCTCAACTCTAGATGTTACTAGGTTGGACCACGTGTCTTGTAATTTCCTCCTGAATCTTTCCTTAAGTTAGCTTGTATTTTTGTTCCTTTTGCAAAGTGAGGGAGCTTAGAAAAGGGCCTTATGATGTTTCCTTGTGACTTCTATGTGTCCTCCTGTGATTTCTCTTCAATGTTTTCTGACCTTCAGAGCTGATCATAAAAGGGCTTTCCTAATTTTACAGTCATTTCTGATTCTTTTTCTACACTTTGTGTCTAAATGCAGTCATTGTAACTGTCAGCTTCTGATTAATGGTTTCTAAAGCCAGGGATTGTGCTGTCAGACAGGTTCAATCTGATTTATGAAAACTTCAGCTACAGAGGAAAGACTTAATAATAATTGGCTTTCCTAGCTCCCCATCAGTTGCTTCATCACTTGAGATTAACTTCTGCAGGAAATCATATCAGCAAAACTGTCTGGCTCTCGTGGTTTAGCGACTTTTATGTGTTTAAATATTTCTTCCCATCTGACCACTTCTTTGAGTCATAAAGTATTGTCATTATCCTCACATTGTGGATACTTTCAATTAAGAAGTCCCTAAATGACTTGTATTCTACTTACATAAAGGACTACTACTCTCTTTTTACAGTCCTGTCATCCAGTCCTGTCATCCTACAATGAGTTGAGCGGGGGTGGGAGTACTCTTGCATGCTAATAACTGAAGAGGCTGCACATGTATGTGCAATCTGTGTGAGAGCATGTGCTGAAAAGGAAATGCAGCATAGAAAAAGACTGTTTCTCTTGACAGTCTGAAAGGAAGAGTAAATGAAGGAGAAGCAGGAACATGAATGTTGCAGTGTAGGAATAATGTTAGGAGGAAAGGATCAACTAAAGGAAGGAATGCTTCCAAGGATGTAAAGACAAATCAACTTCAGTTAAAGTGTGAGTAGCTACTCTAGAAAGATCAATTCAGAGACTGGAAGAGACAAAGACTTTCATTAAAATGAGTTTTCCAAAGACAAAATACAGTTAGTCCCTGTCCACATTTTTATCCTACAAGACCGTGACCTCAGGGTGATCAAGTCAAGGACAGGACTGCTGTCTGTTCAGTTGGTCTGTGGGCCTAACCAGGCATGACTCCCTCATTCCTGCGCCAATATATTTTTTACTAATTTTCTGCATGAAATCCCAACCCGAGGCATGGCATCCAGTCTGCTTCTCCTTCTGCAGGCACTGTTCCCACATCTCCTCCTCTTCCATTCCGTCTGTCCTTTCCATGTCGAATTTTCCTCACAATTAAACATCTCGGTGTCCTGATTAAGTTATTCTCAGTTACTTCAGTTACATCCTAGCCTTTGTCAAGTCCGGATCTTCGTAGTTTTGCAACTTGGTTTTTAATACTGCTTTTGCTTCTGTAGAAATGGTAAAGCTAATTTGTGTCTCATTGGACTACTTTTTTTCACCACACCAGTGTGTTGTAATTTCCACTCTTGCTGGGGAATAAAGCAGAAAGTGGCATTCTACAGCTATTAATAACTACTCTTTTTTCTAAGAAGAGAGAAAAGTTGTCCCTGCAGCAACCTGGACAGAAGTTCTTTCCTTCACATGACAGCAGGGAAAAAAAAATTTTTTTAGTTACTTCCTCTTTTAACGATCCCTCCTGCACTGAGTCACACCTGCAGTCCTCTCATTTCAGTCAAAAGATATGTATTATACCAGAAATGTCCAACAGCCTGAATGGTTCGAGTACGTAGATTTTCCTATGCCACTTGCAGTCAAGTGCCAGCACCTTAGCACTTGTTTTAATTCTGTCCCAAGACATCTCCAGCAGAACGAGTGTGCCTGTGTAGCTGAACAGTGATTTCTCTGCAAGGCAGTGGAAATGATTGCTGTTATTGCTTGGCACTAGCAGTTCTGTGCTCGTCCCTTTTCCCCAGCCTTTTGGCAATTGATCTGCCTGACCTAACCAGAAATGAGACCTGACCAAAAACATTCCCTGGAGATGTTCACCCGGTCTCACTGGCACCTCCCTCTAGCCCATACTCACCTTGTGTACAGCCCAGCAGGTGAGTTGTGTCCCAGCTAAGGGTAGCTGTGAGCTAAAGGGCAGGGGTGTTGTAAGTGGGAGGGTTGTGTGGCTGTTTGACCAGGAGTAATAACTAATAGGATAAACCACACTTTTCTGTGCAGATCTGGACCACTTTGCGTTCTGTCCACTGCAGCGTGCTTTCCCTTTCCATTGCTTCTGCAGTAGCCCTGTCTCTGCTGCCTCTAGAGACATGGCTGTATGCAGACAGACACTGACGTCTCCAGGGGAGGTGTATTTTTTGGTGTGATATAAGGCACTTGGCATAATCTGCTGGTGTAAATATGCATTTAAACACTGCTTCCTATCCACTCAAAATCAGTCATGCTTACCATGACGACTTACTTAGCAACCTTATCAGATCTCTAGTCGCTTACAGCTTTTCTTTTAAGGCATTCATTTTAAATAAAAGATCTGCTTTTCTTTAGAACATGCATTGTCATTTTTTCTGGTCTCCTGTCTTTTTTTGGTAATTTGCTGCAATAGATTTGCACAAAAGCAGAATACAAAATACAGTTTTGGAAATATATGACTAAATATCTTTGATTCTTTGGACATGAGGAATTCTAAATGCTTCATTGTGTAATTCCTTCAAATAATTTTATTTGAAATAGCTTTAATAATAAATATGCTGAAAATATCTATCTCAGGTTTGCTGTCAAGTGTTTATAGGTTTCCCATGCCAGGTGTTCATTGTAAGTCAGAATAACGTGTGTTTCTTTCCCCAGACACTGAACATTATCTTTGAAAAAATCCCAGAAAATGAGAGCGGAGATGCCTGTCAAACTATCCAAGTTAATGTTCTGGACTGCGACACCATAGGCCAAGCCAAAGAGAAGAGCCTTCAGGCTTTCCTTAATAAGAATGGGTTTCTCTATGGTCTTCAGCTGGATGAAATTGGTCTTGGTAAGACTGTCACTGTGTTGTATTTTCATGGATTTCACTGGTTGATCTGTGGAGTTTTCTTGTTAGGAATTTCTAGCTTTGGCTTTGATTATTTTTTTTTTTTAGCATTTGGGAAGAACAGCTTTTGTAAGAAATTTCAAGGGAAATGCTAGATCATTGATGCTACCAGTTAGAACATTGGAATTACATCTGCTTCACTTCTGCGAGGACTTCAGCCTGCAGTTAACAAACACATATTATTTATTGAGCACATATAATTTATATGTTCCTTTTCTGGGTTAAGTAAAGTGGCCTATCCACCTAAGTACAGCTGGTTGATAAATTTTGTCAGCAGCTAAGATGACATGTCATGATTACCAAGTTCTTCGGTCCCAACCTACTATCCCTTCTACCGCCCTTCCTTCCAACAGGCCTACGTTTCCCTTGATCAGGAGAACCCACAAATACAGTTTATTCACAGTCAGATTGTGTTTATATAAGAGTTCGCATGTGACTCACAAAGATACGTACAATATCTACAGATGTACATAAGGCTGTTTCAGCAGATGAGTCAAGCCATCTTTTCTTGATGGGTTTTCAAGAGCCCAAGCTCAGATGAAAGCCGGTAGTTGCCACCATACCACTTCCCATGTGCTCCAGTAGGAAATCCAACAAAGTCTACATTGTTGGCATTTGTCACCTCCTGGACTTGCTCCCTAAGATGTGGGTATTTCCTTGCCTTCTCAGGCGCTATGTTGACGAGTGATGATTATTTATTTTCATATCTGATGTTTATATCCACCACCAGTGCCTGACTACCGCTCACAAATACTATGTCAGTCTTGTACAGCTCATTTTAGTGATCTCTTAGAAGTGGCTTATGAAACCTTTCTTCTAGTCCCAACGTGGCCATATCACCACGGCACACTTGTGCAACAGAAGAGCTAGATTAGGCGAAAGCAGCTCCAAAACCTCTGCCTTGACCAACACAAAGTGAAGCACCAATAGCCTCCAGTAATGGAGGCCACCCAAACTGTCACCCCAGAAAAGGAGTCTGTAGAGTGGGAGTGACCTGGCACAAGGACAGAGAGCTCAGTTGGGAGGCACTGGTCAGAAATGATTAGGTGCTGGTTTTCTTTACAAACATCTGTACTGTGAGAATGCCATTGGGATGTAATTGTTTTCTGTTGCTGTCATACTGCAGAACTTGTGTCTGAGGAGCAGCAAAGAGAATTGTTAGATATTGATGGTTCCTCAGAGGTGATGGAGGATGGGATAAGGAAGCTAAATACCATCAGTCATTATGAGGTAAGCGCAGAAGCCTTATCAATGAATCAAGAAGCAGTTTCTCCCCAACTCCCAGATGCTGTCTGCACAGAAGTATCTTGGTTGATCAAAAGCTTGAAGAAGCTGAGTATCATCAGCAGAAGGAAAGAAATGTGTGACACGCAACTTTCTTGCCAATGAGTCATGTGTTTTCTGTTACTTTTCAGAGGTTTGCTTGTTACACAATTGCTTGGTTCAAGCATACCAGATAAACTGTTACTTCTGTTGAGCATTTCAGTTAAAACAGCATCTGATTTCCAGCCATGGACATTGCCTTGAGTGTTTTCTAATCTCTGCTGCTGAGTTTTTGTTGCACCATGAGCAACTGTTTACCTCGTCCCACATCGTATTTTGATTCTTTGAACAAGCATTAGTGATAGTTGTGAAAACTCATTGAGAGTCAGAATAAAAAAGACTGATGAGTTTGTTCGCTCTTCTCGAGACCTCCTCTGTCAGTCTCCTTCCCTGTTTCTCTCTGTTTCTGCTTCCATTTACTGTCACCACTTGGACCATAAGTTTTCTGCTCCACTTCCAATTGCAGCTGTAAACCAGTTGTTTTCAGTGCTGCAATAATCTGTCCATCATTGCAACAGCACACCAGGCTGCAACTGGTGGCAGAGCCCTTCTGGGTGCAAAAGTGCAGCAAGCAGCTCTGCCTGTCTAAGGAGTTTCCACTGACATTAGTCAAAACAGAGGGCGAGAGGCTGGGGTAAAATGGGCAACAGATGATTTCCCTCAGGCAAGATGGTAGCTCACACTTTGATGCTTACAGATGGATTTTGGAAATGGGGTTAGTATGCTGAGTGCTCTTAGTGAGCTTTCTCCATGCCTGGTTGTTACATTTGGAAGTCTGCCTCTTAACATGATGATCAGTTTTTATTTGTTTAGAAGTTTTGCTGATGAGTGTAGGTCTGTGCCATGCCATGCAGCATGGTGCTGAGAAACCTGAGCCAGCCCTGAACACATCGCTGACTGCATGAGCAAATACAGTGCCATCCACAGAGAGGAGCAAGGACTCCTAGCGGGACTGTTTGTAGCTTGGGCAGAGCACAAGCCTGCTCAGAACTGGAGCGAGACCTTTTGGAGTCATTTTACAGATTTCTGTAGGTGTTTGTTGCTGTCCTTACCTCCTGGGGAGGCAGCAGTGATCCCAGATGTCCTGAGTCACCATCCAGTGTCTTAAATACAGCTTTTCCTGTGCCTCTCTTGAATCTTGTCTGTAGATTAACATGGGACTTCCTCCACTCCACTGGTGAAGATTTTGTACAAATTAGGGCATTGTGGTGTTGCAGTCAGAGTCTATGCAGCAAAGATCAATGTAGATTTGAATCTGGTTAGATATTTGAACTTCTCTCTAGTGCAGTGGTACCTGCCCTCTTTACTACAGGCAGCTGTTGCAAGTGCTCCCTGGTTTTACCTGGCAACTTTTTGCCCTTCCTGAGCTCACGGCATGCCCTTTCTCATGGGTGCTGTACCTCATGGCAATGAGTCTGCTCCAGTTGGGCATTGTCATCCCCACGTATCTTTGTCCCAGCCCTTGTTTTCGTCTGAGGTTTCCGCAGGCACATGCAAGTTAAGTTGGAGGTTCGGTTGTTTTGCAAAGCTGTAACTACACTAATTATAGCTTAGCAGCTGCCTTGTGGGAATTGTGCTGGGTATCTCTGTTAGATATTTTAGTTCACTTTTTCTGCCACTGACAAAATAATGTACATTGTAGGCAGAAGCTTGGTAGCATTTTAGGCAGTGGCTTAGTGGCAAATACCAGCCATTAGCATGTCTAGTTTATTGTCTCATATGCATATTAATGCAAAAAGGAATGTAAAGGTGCCTAGTTAGCAAGAAAAAGGAACATGGCATACACAGTGTGAGGGTAGTAACTTTGCCTGAGGAATTCCAGCTTACATTTCAACAGTGCCTAGCTTTTGTGGCAAGCCTGAATTTTACTTTTTGTTTGCCAGCCTTAAATGCTAGAAAGTAACCAGATTTTAGAAACTGGGAAGTACCATCAAATCTTTTTAACATACAGGAGCAGAAGAGTTGTGTTGTACAGGTCCCAGAATCACCAGTCACTCTTGAAAAAGCAGACTTAGTTTCTACACTGATTTTTAAAATGCCCAAGTGGGGGATGTTTGCATTTTTGTGTGGTGTTTCTGAAGGGAAAAAAATCCACTGTACTCGTTAGACTTGCATGTGTCTCTGACTTGTGTGCTCCATTTGCTCTAATTTTTTTGCTCCTAGTAGGGTTACTGCTGTGATTGTTTATGAGGTCTGCACTATTGTTTACATGACAATAACCACAAGCCTTGATGAGAAAGTCGCTGATTATCATGATGTCCTGTTCCCGTGCAAGAAGAGAGCAAGAAAACCACTTTCAAATCTGCTGTCCAGCCACAGATCTCCAGTTTCTCTACCATAGCTGTATTCTTTTTCTAGAGAATTCCAGTTTTTCTAACTGTAGCAACATTGCACATTCCAGGAGCAGGCACAGCCCCAGAGAGTGAATCTGAATGTGTGAACCAGGGAGCTCACCGACAAGAGCTGGCTTATAGGGAGGACAGGAGGTCTGGAGAACAAGAAGAGGTGTAGAGCCACAGTGCTACATTTTTTGTTCTGCAAAGTAGTGCTGCTCCATGTTGCGTGGGTCTGAACAGATCTCCACTCTCCCTATTAGTCCCTCTCTGTAACGCACCTGACAAACTAAAGATGTTTTGAGGTGCCCATGGCAGCAGCCCACCATGAGAAGTGATTTAGGCGGCAGGACACAAAAAGAAAGACTTAATTTTTTTATTCTATTGGATCACAGTGAAAGAAACAGCAAATATGGCTGCTACAGTAATGATAAAGATGGGAAAGCGGATTCCAGTCAATGCCAAAACTGTCATTTGTCCCAGAAACAAAACCTGAAGTGGGAGCTTGGATGATGGCTGCACAGCACCAACGCCTCTGGCTCCTGCAGAGAAGCATGGTTCTCCCTCTGAGCTCTGCCTGTCTCCCTCAGGACAGGAGCCAACACATTTCAGCACTGAGCTGCTCTCCTGCTTCTCGGAGAGGGAGTGGAGGGAGCGTATTGCCCACACCTCTCTGGGAGGGGGTAAGCTGCTGGATAGCCCTGTTCCTGTTACTTGTCTTCAGGGCCAAGTAGGAGAACCCTCTGGGTGTTTGTGTCACCTCACAAGTAGCTTTAGAGCATATTCCCACTCGTAGTGTGATTTTAAATGCTCTGTGTTATCTGAAAGAACTCTGAAACTCTATGATAAATGGAAACCCTGCAAAAAATCATACTTATAAAATAGATTGCATATACTTTCCAGGAGCAAGTGTAAGTGCAGATTTCTTTGGCACAAGACACAGCTTTTGATAGAGTATCTTAATGTTTAAACTGGTTTCTTACACCGGGCTGGCTGCCAAGGTTTAAAAAACACTTAAATTATTTTGGCAGAGATCCTTTCCTAGAACTGGCCAGTTGTTTTTGTAATTATAGGGGGAAGCACACTAGCACTTGGCAAGACCCAACATTTGACAGCAGAGCAGTGGTGTAGTTCTCAGTGGGAGCGGTTTTTGAGTTACTCTTCGACAATAAAAGCATGACTTGCCAGTTTCTTTTAAATAGTTACCATCCTGGCAGCACTATAAATTCAGAGAAGGAGGGGGGTTGATTTTCCTAGAAATCCCAAGGTAGGCAGATGTGGATCTTGACCTTACAGTCCATGGGGTGTAAATATTTTGCTCAGTTTGAAAATAGTTCTTGGGAGCACCAGGCTAGACCCTCAACATGGCTCCTCCAATACAGCATGGGGGGAACGGACTGAGCTGGAAGAAAGGAGGCCAGGAGACAAGTCGTGTTGTGTTGCCCTCCCTGCCTTACCTTCCCATAAAATCCTATTGCGTTGGAGCCAGAGAATTCAACCTGGGCAGTCTGCGGGAAGATGGGTGCAAGGAGCAGCACGAAATGGTACATGACAATGAGAATGTCCAAATAGGGGCTGAACCAGAAATGTCAAAGGAAGGGAAACATCTTAAAGGCCAGTTTGTCGGAAGA